GTGCCAAAAGCGGCAGCGTATACTCTTCATCCTCCGCATTTGTCGTCAGAGAGCGTTTAGCAACGACGTAGATACCCAATAGGATCAGTGCTAGACTGAGAGAGTAAAGTACGTAATGCCATGTCGCTAGATGTTCCATATCCCGAAAAAAACAAAGTCCCGAGACAGCACCAGCCATAATGTAACTCGCTTCATAAAGATATATCACCACAACTGCATCTTCGACAGCCAACGCCTCATTTAAAAGATATAGTCCGAAAATTGCCGTTCCAAGTGCGCCAATGACGCATATATATGTCACTGGAAAAGACCAGATGCGACTTGCACCGTCATCGTGCACAGCTTGCATAACAGCAGCGAGAAAAAAGAGTTGTCCACTCATCACTCCAGCAAATACACTTAATGAAACACGTGTGATGACTGAAAGTTGTTCCGGACTCGACACCGGCGAACTCTTCACACCAGCTCGACGGGAAGTAGTGGTAAAGTGCAGGGCATCTTTTGCATGATGGATTAAGAAGCAAAGTAATACAAAAAGCGCGACAAGATACAGAACGAATGAAAATGACTTGAACCTTGCTCCCAATAGCTCCACCGGCAAAGGAGGACTGTCGTGTGTTCCTGACACGCCGACTAGTACACAGCCAGTGAAAATGAGCACTGCCCCGACAAAATCGTTGGTTGTCAAACGCTCATGAGGTAACAAAATTGGTCCAAATAGTGTGTTCCAGCCGATAGTGAGTCCCGCCATAGGTGCAAGCAATGATTGCGTAGCAAAGCAGTAGGCTAATGCTCCAAGTGCTGGATTCATAACCAACATAGAAAAGAGACCACAGTAAAAGTAGGTGACGCCCATATTGGATCTAATCGATGGCATGGGTATAGAAACAGCCCCGTGGCTCTTACGAAGCTTGCTTTGAGCAGCGGCTAATTCCTCCTTGTCGCGTTCAAGATGCGCTAGTTTAAGTAAGAGTTTTCCAGCTATCCCAAAGATACTGGAGATGGCAGAAAGCACCAAACCTAGAGGCCAACCAATGAACCACATGGTACTTCAAAGAGTATATGATAAGTACGTCGAGCAGGGGCGCCGATGCTCCAGCACAGCAAGCAAAGATGATAGCAGTCCGATTTGCGACAACTCGTACGTAAAAAATAGAAATATATTTATTGGTAGTACAATCCCAATAGAAACTATCAACTACTACCATACTATATCAATTTTAGTCATCGTAAGACGGAATCTGGTCATAATGATAGCCTTTCCAGCCCTTCCACGCGCCATAAAGTTGATAGGTTGCATAACTACCTGGAATAAAAGCTGCAGGTAATCAATCCAAACGTCACCGTTAGAAAGGTGCAAAAGTTCAACACCTGAGTAAACTCTTACCAATAAGTCCAAGAATTAGAAAAGATAATCCACGCTTTTCCTCGTCCAGACCGATGAGAGTGCTCACGTATATGAGGATAGACCCAAGTAGAAAAAGACATGCGGCAGCTAAACCTGTCCGAATTGGAAATGCTTTTCGTCGGATTTCCAGATCCTAAATACCACAAATTTAGAAGTTAAGTGTTGCAATATATACAACTCAAAACAGCAAACATACCGGTGTGGCTGCCCGGGCTGCGTCTTCTTTCGAAAATGAGGCGAACTTGGAGTCATTCAATGTCTTCAAAACGCGCGAGTCATTAAAATCAGTAACACGATGCACGTCTTTCGCCATGAATTTCGGAAATGACTAAATTAAAGTCACGCCTTTTAAAGTCTTTATGATATTACCACCGTCGTGTAACATACAAATGAGGTACATAATAATGCATCAACATCTTGTATGTGTCGAGTGCGGCTCCTCAGTGGAAAAGCTGGTGCGTGACTACGGCAAAGGGAACTTACGTTTGTCCATTTGCAGTGCATGTAACTCAGTTGTGGACAAATATGTTGAGTACGAGACGATTTTGCTCTTTCTTGATGTGCTGCTTCTTAAGCCTCAAGTGTATCGACATGTGCTGTATAACCTGCCTGCACCAATTTCGACTCGTACAATACTTAAGTTATTTGTGATACTTGCAATGTTGGATATGAACATCAAGGCTTATTTGGTGGACCGAAATGCTGGTGTAACTTTCCGCTTAGAGTCCATGTACAGAATTTCTGATACTACAACGTCTGGAATACAAGTCGGACTATATTTGTTGTGTCTTGCATTACTGGAGAACGTCGTGTACTTTGTGAGTATCTTTTGCACCATCTGGATTGACCCATTGCACCGCAATTGGCGGGATAAAATTCTACTCAGTGAAGAAAGTGAAACGATTGACGCAGCATGGACACGATACGCCAGTGCTATGTGTATCTCAAGTTTTGGTAAGCTCTTTGCTCTGCTGACAGTAATTTGGGAATATCATTGGACTTTTGTTTATGTCATTGGAGCGTTGGTAGCTGTATCTAATGGACTAGCACTGCAACTTTTACTAGGTGAAGGAGGCCCAGCTCAAGTCAAATCACCATATATTGTAGCTCTTGTCGTGCTTGGAGTAATTGCCAAAAGTGCAACTCAGCTTACACTTTTCGCGTTGGGCAATTCAGTACTTTTCCACGTACTTTTATAGCGAAAATATTGAATAGACTATTTTTAACATTGATGACATTAACATTTTCTGAAGAAAAGCGATCTTCAGTCACTATGAGCTCGGTTGAACTTCCTTTAGTGACCAGCGCGCGGTCGTCAGATTCATCTGCTTCCTCAACCCGTGATCGCATTCATTCAGCAAGTTCAACTTGTGATAAAAGAACTCAGAGTGTGCGCAGTCAACATAGTCAAGAGAACAATCATCGAAAAGGGAAAAATAATTCAGAATCGAGAAATGAAGAACTGTGGAACGAACTTGAATCATTTTTAAGCAGCCCATCGCCGACTTTTACAAATATATTCGGAAAAGGACTCAAGGTAAGTGGCAAGAAGCCACCACTAAGTGAGCTGCCTTTGTTAATTCAAAAAAGGGATTCTGACAACCAAGCTACAAGGCCAAATCGGTCAGCTTGTGCTCCAATTGACTCAAAGCTGCTTCAAGAAGCCTTTGCTTATGTTGATCAGCTCGAGCAAACGAAATTTGATGAGAGTAACGAAGAAGAGCAACAGCAATCATCGAAAAGTAGTAAAGGTTCAATGATGCTGAGAAGAATACCAACATCGTCCTCGGCTTCGAGTCATGCGCTCTCGAATTTGTCACATGAGCGCCGAGGGATAGCTAGTATGTCGGGTAGTAAAGTTCGGAAGAAGCTGTCGGTTTACAGCGTTACTGCAAAGCCAAAAGTTGCCTCACGTAAAAGTCGCAGCACGCGTGAAGACACTCGAAACACGAATGGACACATGGATCCTCAAACACTGCAAGCTCTTGTTAGCAATTTTCAAAATGGCACGACAATTGACGAGTTACGTCGAGAGCTCACAGCTTCTCAGCAAAGTCTCACTGCATCCTGCCACATTCTAAAAGAAGCAGCTCAAAAATTTTATCATGGTTTAGATTGAATTATACTGATACAAATCACACCAAAATATATAGTAGTAGTGAAAAAAGCTGATCGTTTGAAAGCCAGCAAACCCAGGACGCAGCTACATAGAAGAAGCATAGTTTTGAGCAAATTCGCTCGCCTCCTCTAGCTGCATGGCTGCACGTTGCATCCGTTGTACGTCTGCAATCGCAACACGTCGTTTCTCTTCGACAGCTTTTTGCAGATCCTTATTCTTGGCTTCTAGCGTCGCCACTAGATTCTCCAGCTCCTTTTTCTCTTCCTGCTTCGCACGCAAGCGTTCTGCTCGAATTTGTGCTTCAGGCGACGTTTCTTCCTGCGTCTGATTTTGCTCGTCTTTTTCCCCTTCCGATGTTTCCTGAACTATCGCATCTTTCTCATCTACTCGACGCAAACGTCTCTCTTCGGCCTGATTTATGACATCCTCAAGCTCCAGTAGCTCTGTGTCCACGTCGTGAGTTTCACAGAGCCATCCAAATAGCGTTTCAACCTTTTGTCGCAAGCTTAGCACCGCCTGTGCCGCCACTTCTTCAACACTATCATGCTCTGGGCTCTCGGGCGATGATGGCGAAAAGAAGGCGGCCAATAGCTCCTCATCTCCACCACACTCACTTTCCAAAAATGATCGTAAATCCACAAGCGATGCATCATGAACCGAAACGTCAAGTGCCTTCTGGAGAATTAGCTCCATACGCTTCCTTCGCACAGGTTTCCCTGTCGAAGACGCTGGGAGCAACGGCATAATTGCATTAAGCATTTGATGCATTTTATTGGCTGATATTAAATTTAACTGTTTAAAATTCCAAAGCTCTTGTGAAAAAACGACTTATCGGCGTGCTTAATGTGGTTCTCGGCTTTGCGACAAAAGCTTCAGCTGCTGATCATCATCTTTTTCATCTTTGTGGCATTTGCAGCGTCTGATGCAGCCTGGATGCCTTGGGTAGGTGCTTTGCAATTACATAATTGGTAAAGTTGTCATTTACGTTTGTACCTTTGCTACAGGCGACGCTCGTGATCTTTCTTACGATGCTACTCGTGACGGATCTCTTATTTCTTGGTCAAAATGAGTTTAAGTACGATCCAGATTACAAGGTAGGAAAGCATTTATATCATAAAGGAAAGGTTTAGAGAGTTAATTCTATTTCTTCCAGAATTGGGCTCGTGCGGTTGATCCAAAATACTGACGAGGAACTTCATATCTGCAATGACTTTGACGGTGATAACATGAAATGCTGAAAAGTCAATCTTTTGACGCTATGGTAGTGAATGATGAGACAGCAAAGTGATAATATTTTTTTAAGAATACATGAGTTTCACTAATATATATGACAGTCGCCCGTCGCCACGCTCTTCAATACATCATGGCATAGTACCGCGAAAATACAAGAGTTGCAAACATTAGAGCATCAATACGATCCAACACGCCGCCATGTCCAGGAATGAGAGTCCCGGAATCTTTAACTCCAGCTGCTCGTTTCAATAAACTTTCAAACAAATCTCCAAGGCGTCCAATAATCACCGCAATGACTGTAAAAAGAACTTTTGCCTTATAGGATCCTGGTAATTCGAGTTTGTCGGATGTCACAACCATAGCGACGATTCCAAACCCAATTGCACCAAGAGTACCTTCATAATCTTTGTTTTTGGATAAATGAGCTGCAAGGGGGTGATAATACGGATACTTTGCAAGTGCTAATGCTTTGCCTGTAACATAAGCCCCTGTATCGGACGCCCACACGACATAAAGTAACGCAATGAGTAACTTTCGGTACAGTGTCCGTCGTTCATCGTCCACAAATGCCACAAGAACTGATAAGGTACCAATAATATAGATCAGACCCACAGCATCTAATGCAAAGGTCAGAAAAGCTTCAGCATTGCTTCGAGAAGTTGCAAATCGAAAAATCATAAAGACGATCATGCCTGCTAACACAATCTGTGCTGGCTTAATGGCCATGTGGCAAGAGAGAACATTAATCGGACAAGCAGTGGAATGCAAGGTGAGGATTGTAAAGATGGCATTTTGTACGAAAATAACGACAGCATATTGCCAGTCAGGTGACATGCACGCACACATTGCTGCCACAAAACCTGTCGCGATGGTGTAAAATGCTCGGGCAGCGTAAAATTCAGTTGTTGCGAGGACAGGCATATTTTGAATTGCTAGTAAGAAAATACCGGACGAAATGGTACACATGACAGCAGAAACGGCCACGGCCGCCAGCCACTCGTATCCTTTGAAAAAAGATGTGGCCACATTTGTGACTGCACAGCGACGGAGTCGAGCTTCTTGTTCTTTTAACTCGTTATTCACTCGAGCCATTTCCCTAGCCTCTTGTTCTTCGTGAAAAGCTCGAGAAGCTGTAGTTCGTGATAGCATAGGAGCGAAATATTTATCATCATCGCTTGACTGTCCTCGATGCAGTTGAGCAGTGCCATGGCTATTGATTCCAACAGTCTTATTAACAGTCGCGACTTCACACTCAAAGCTATTAATGCTTGTGCATCTATCGTCGTGATAATCTTGCGAGTCACTTGAAGAAATGTCGCTGGTCGACAACCTTGGTTTTGTTTCGTTGCCCGTAGAGTTCTCAAGCGCCTCGAGTCTTGTTAACAGTCGTAGACGAATGCGATTAGCTAGACACGCGTATTCGTATGAGCATGTACTTGTCATAAAGCTACAGACAGTAGACGTGGCAATTGCAGGTGAAAGCCATAGGAAGACTGTCAATGCAGGAGCAAGCACTGCAGCTGAGAGCGTGCGCTGCACCACGTTGTAACGTAAGAAAGCAGGGCAGCGAATTGTATCAAACAGAGACGGTGGCGATTGTTGGAGGCTACGGTACGAGCTCTCCAGTAGTGAATTTTGCGATAGTTGCGGCATGACTGGGTTTCGCTTTAGATGCCACTTACCATCGCTGGATCAGATGCCTGATATACGGACAGAGATATTTTGAGTGTCTTAAATAATATATACTACTAATCTATTGATGCTGCGGTAGGGTTTATATGGCTGTTTGTCTTTTATGCTGTGTAACTCAAACGCTCTTGGCAAGTTGAATCAAGTGCTTGTGCTTGTTGTCGAACCCAAACATGATTTTTGCTCCGTCGTTATCTTTCAGATCAGAAATGCTTTGACATTTGAAAGGAACGTCATTATTATGGACTGGCTCAGAATCTACACCGGCTGTTTCTAGAAAAAATCACAACAGTAGATCCCTACTGTTTCTTTCTCGCCTTGGACGATTTTGGTACTTGCATTTGATCACTTAGAAAGTGAAGCACTCGCAACATGTTGAGAAAGTTAAAAACGTTCTCAATTGCGACCCATATCGATCTTCTTCGATAGCCTTTAAGTTGATGCTAACTTCGCACTATAAACTTTATGAACTTGGCCAAGCCACGCCAGTAAATTCTTTTGATAGTGACAGTGGGCAATTTACAATTACCTTAATCTTTATGAGATCTGCCCGAAGGATAACATGCCAAGAAGAGGATTTCGTCCGCATAAAGATACAGATATATTTAAGAACGACACCCGTTTTTAGGATCGTGTAAGCCATGTCAAGCACGTGCTGTAGGGTTTAATTCATTACACTTTAACCCCGCTCTACCCAGCCCGGGGATTGTGTTAAAAAAGATGAAGTGAGTATATTATGGTCCTTAGTTCGCTACTCCGAGCTACCTCTAAGCCTTTCCTATGGCGTTATTCTGGGCGCAATCATGTCGCGTCATCGTGTGTGCAATCACGTCGTCCTATGGTCCGGAGATTCGATCGCGCAAAGTATGCTGTAAGCCGTTCTTCTAACACTCCTCCTCGCGATCGTGTCCCCACCGCCATATCTAGCGCAACCCCACGAGCGCTCGCAGCTCTGCAAGCTTGTGCTTGTCTAACGCCTCTGTCAGAAGTCCGCGAGCATAAGCCCTGACCGGACGTAGCGCATCTCAACGACGCCGCGACGAGCAAAGTCCTTAACAAACTTGAGGCGCAAGTCGATGTGTTAAGCTTTCAGAGACGAAGCCTCTCCTTCA